AAATATGAAGTTAGGTCCCTACATTAAACCTTAAAAAACAATTTTCATAGGGAATGTATGATTTTTTTGCGGTGGTAAAGGACTTTCAAAGCAGACACCAAAGACTAAAATACACATGTAAACTGGAAAAATATTTGTATGTATCATCCCTTAGTCTTTAAGGAATTTAAGGGAATTCCATCAGTCAATAAGGGAAGTTGAAATCCTCTGTAAAAAAAAGTGCAGTGTACACAAACAGGATTTCACAAACTAGAAATGCAAATGGTAAATTCCATGTAAAAAGATGCCTACTCTAAAATAAAAATAAAATAAGGTGCCATTTTTGTTTATCAGATTGGTAAAGTATAGATGATTGATTTTTCCCAGTCATGGTGAGGGTATAACAAAAAGTACTGTCTTTTACTGCTGAAGGAAGGGTAAACTGAGGTTTAAGGAGGGGAGGACTACCAAAAACCTTAAAAGTGGCTAACTTTGAAAAGTTTTAATTCCAAGAGATTTCCTAGTAATATAGTGAACTTCATATTATTTATCACAATTGCTAAAAGTTGGACAAACCTAATTTCATCAGTTGGAGATCGGTTTTCTGTTACGTACCTCCACATAACAGAAAAAAAATACTAGTCTATTAAATGCAACATTGACATGACAAAATAGAGCGCCCAGGAGCCAGTCCTGCTCCCCTACTCACAAGCTGTGTGACCCTGGTCAAGTTACTGCACTGCTCTGTGTCCTGATTATTTCAGTTGCAAAAGAGAGAAAACAGTAGTATCTAGTTTGTACTATTGGAAAGATTAAATTATAAGATGTGAAATACTAGAACAATACCAGACACTTGGTAAGTACTATTACGTAAGTTTTAGCTGTTGTTATTTTATTATTGGAAGAGAAAAATTTAGACAGTAAACTCTAAAACACAATTTAGATTTATTGTTTTTAAAGTTTCCATATGTCCAAAATGTTGCTAACACTTATCAATATGTTAATGATCTTCAGGATGATGATTTCAAGTGATTTGTATTAACTTTTTAATTCTTATCTGTGATTTTAAAATTCTTGAATAATTATGTGCTAGAAAATAATAATTTTTTTTATTTTAAAAACTAATGCACATAATTCTTCCTTAGAGGACATTAAGTGGTATATTGATTCACATTTTTCATCTTGGATAAATATTTATCTGTTAAATATAAAACCATCACTAAAAACTACACCCATGATTTTATAAATACCATTGCTTAAGAAGAGGCTAGAATTGGTATTTAGGTTAAAAAAATAAGTTAATTTTAAGAGAAAATATTAAATAATGGTGCAGGTAGCATTAGAAAAAACAAATCTTCAACAGACGTGTGAAAAAATCAAGTTCCAGATATACTGCCCCATTTAGACTATTATGCCTAAGAATATGCATAAGACTACTTAGGCCTAAGAACACTAAAATGTTTCTGTTCAGCTTAAGGAGTAGAATTTTTACAGTTATCTGATTTTAAATTCAATACTGTGGTTAACAAAATTCCAATATGGAATATTGAACATTTGAGTATGTATGTGTTTATAATTAAGATTCTTTTTAATTTTAACATATATATAGATTCATCTATATTTTAAATAAAAGTGCAGGGTGCTGTTAATCTTCACTTTTATATATATATATATTATTCTAATTTCATGTTTGAGAAAACTTTAGACAAATTATAGATTAGTCAGTCGTAATGTTGAACCTTTACAATGAATATCCAAAACCAGAATAAAGAAGCAAACTTTTACAAGGGTGTTTTTCCCAAGTATAAAATGAAAGACATTTCTGGAATATTTAAGAAGGCCTTCTAACTTCTTGAAAAAAATGGCATCGAAATTGGTACATAGTGATCGAAATTTGATCTGGGGCCTCCTCTTACTTTAATCTGTCAGCATGGCATCCCCAACAGAGCCAACAGCTTGTTGGAAATGACTTCATCGCTCAGACAAGTACATCAGTCCTCAGTTCCCACTGCTCATGAGTAACATGGAGTTGTAGTCACGTTCATGGCTTCTTGGAAAACATCAGGTCCTGAAGCATCCACATTTAAAGTGTCCTCTCCATTAATTTCAACTTATCAACAATGAGAAACACTTATTAAATATTATATTACTTAGTTGACTGCAAGAAAAAAGGAGAGAGAGAGAGATAATAAAATAGAAGTATCCTGTGCCTTCAGGGACCATAAAATTATATAGGCCACCCTAATAAATCTTTGTCTTTTAATTAGATAGTACCTGTCAAGTTGAGTTTTCCTTTGGATTTTGAGCCAACAGCCTATAAATTTTGTTTATTAATTTTATAATAAATACAGGCATATTACATGGTTTAATTCTTTGAATTGCTGCCAGCTTCTTTCATTTTTCTTTTGGCTTACCAGTGAAGTGTTCTGCATTCTCAATTTTATTTTCTTACTCCTTATATTCATTTTTTTTCCTTTCTGAAAGACATGCAAATTATGGGTTTGCAGAGTTAAATACTTCATATGTTGAATGATTTTTATTAGATCTGCATTTATCAACAAACAATAAAATGTCTGTGAGCATTAAACTTTCAACATTTAATGCAGATATCAATGAGTGTGCTTTGGATCCCGATATCTGTGCCAATGGAATTTGTGAAAACTTACGTGGTAGTTACCGTTGTAATTGCAACAGTGGCTACGAACCAGATGCCTCTGGAAGAAACTGTATTGGTAAGTAGTTATATTTATACAAGAGCCTTCATACAGTTTAATCCCATGGATTAGAGGATAACTAAAAATACAAATAAGTGACTAAAACTCGTCATTTACACTTTCTTCTGTTTCTTTGTAGTATACATCAGTATAAAAGTATTGGAATCAAATTTTGTCACTCAGTAATAGAGTTCTTAGTAGTACTGCTTAGTATTTAAAATATTCTTTTCCCAAATGAATGAACACATACTTAATTATTGGCCTATTGTTTTACTGCATATATCTTAATCCTATAATTTTTCACTGAGAAGTAGACTTCAAAAATTGTAGGGCAGTATGGATAATATTAAGTCAAGAAAATAAAGTGTTGCAAGTTGAGAGAACTTTGACTTTATAAAGAAACAACCATTGCTGCAACATATCTGAACACGATAATTGAAACAAAGGTATTTTCTTTTTTAATTTATATTAGAATGTTGAAAAAGTTCAAGTATGTAATTTATGTTTATCAAAAGGAAGGGAGGGTAATGAGGAGGTCTGATAGTGTTTCATTGTTTTCTATTAGTTCATATATTCAAGAATTTGTGAAGAATCTAGATTTTCCCATAGAACATTTGAATTCACTTTTATAAAATGAATATCCATTATTATGCATAATAATTTTTACAACTAATCACCGATGACTTATACAACTAAGTGTTGATTATTATGATTAGAAAGAAACACATGTTTTCTATTTTCTGGCAATCGTTTTTATGATTGAACATATCTATTTGATCTTGAGTTGAAGACATACATACAGATGGATGTATAAAGCTATATTAATATTATGTACTTATGATAGATTTTGAAGCCTACTGGGAAGAGCACCAGCCAAAGATTATTGAACATTTCTAAAAATATGCAAAGCAAGCTAGCTTTTATTCACCAGCAGCAAAGTCACTTTCAGATTAGCTTCCAAATACATTTGAGAACATGGGTACCCTACTGAAAACAGGAAGATTCAGTGAGCATTCACACACTGAACACAGGTTATGCAACTACTTACTGAACTCTTTAAGTCGGTATATATATAATTTTGAGAAAAGTTAAAACTAGATTTTAAAAATAAAAAAGCCAAATTCTAGTAATAGAATGTTTTAGTTTGCTAGGGCTGCCATAACAAAGTATCCAAAACTGGGTCACTTAAAGCAACAGATACTTATTGTCCCACGGTTTGGAAGCCTAGAGGTTCAAAATCAAGGTGTCAGCAGCTCCATGCTCTTTGATGGCTGCCGAGGAGAATCCTTCCTTTCCTCTTGCACCTTCTAGTGGTTGCCAGCAGTTCTCGGAATTCCTTGGTTTGTAGATGCATCACTCCAGTCACACGACCAAGTTGTCCCCATGTGTCTGCACATTATCTTCTCTCTGTGTGTATCTACCTTTATGTCCAAATTTCCTTTTTTTGTTTGAAAACTGGTCATGTTGGATTATGACCTACCCTGATGACCTCATTTTTACTTGATTACTTCTATAAAAAACCCTATTTCCAAATAAGGTCACATTCTGAGATACTGGGAGTTAAGATTTCAACATGTATTTTTTGAGGAACACGATTCAATACATAGGATGAAGAAATGGGTAGGAAAATATGATGCAGTCACTTGATAACACATACAATCGTGGGAAAAATTATGGCCATTCTTAAAATATAATGTTAATTTTTAAAGTGCCAAGATTTAGAATTGGAGCAAAAACATAACATCCAAAAAGAAAAAGATCAGATAAAACATAAAAGTTGATATTATCAGTGGTGATGGAATTATAGGGAATATTTTTCTGATCTCTGTTTTCCAAATCTTTACAGTGTCAGTATATTGATTGATAAGGGACAATTATATTTGCAAGACTAAAAATATAACTTTAAGCAAAAGGAACTCTTCACTTCAAACTACATTTTTTATTTCTTTCTGTTATTAACTACACTTTTAAAAGTGAGATTGTGGATATGAAGGTTAAACTCAATGTAAGCTTATACTCGAGGTTTAGATGATACTCTCTAGGCTGTTCTATTCTGCTAAAGGAATATGCAAAATACATAATTAATTTTCCATTAATAACTAATTATTTCTGAGGTAAAAACACAATGGAAAAAGGTTAGTGAATACCTTTTGTTTAACTGCTGTTTAATGCATTATTTTGGGGAATTTAATCAGGAAAAAGTGAAATAATACCATCTGTTACTTTTATTATACGTAGGCAAGTATATAGGCACATGAATGTAACCGTTTCATATATTTCATCAGTGCTTTAAAATACATCCAATATAGTACCATTACAGGACAAAAAGTGGATGAAAGGGTAACAAAGCAATAATGTGCTTTTTCCAAACTACTACATACTTTCCAGGGATTTCAAAACATCTTAAAAAGAGCCACCAGCATAAGAATATCCCATTTGAATAAAACAATATATTTCGCTTAGTATGAAGGAGTCTGCTGTGGTGCAAAGAGACTAAGCCAGAGAGAGGGGTGAGGGAAAAAACAAATAACTGTGGTCCCTGTGATAGATGTTTAAATAAGTGTATCTCCTGTCTTCCCATGGTTGCTTTCAGACATTGATGAGTGCTTGGTAAACAGACTGCTTTGTGATAATGGACTGTGCCGAAACACGCCAGGAAGCTACAGCTGCACCTGCCCACCTGGGTATGTGTTCAGGACCGAGACAGAGACCTGTGAAGGTAAGAGCTGTCTTCCTCTCCTTAGTTGTGAATACCAGAAGATGTATAAACATCAATTACAGTGATGGAGCACTGCAGCAAAAATTAGAGTATTGCTTGAATATCTTTATTTCATAATCTTTTTTCAGCTAATCTGTCAGATTTAAAAATGGAACGCACCTAACCCAGTTTACAAACACCGTCAGTTTTGTTCCCGTCACATAAAATATCAGCAAACCTTGAATATCTTTATTTCATAATCTTTTTTCAGCTAATCTGTCAGATTTAAAAATGGAATGCACCTAACCCAGTTTACAAACACCGTCAGTTTTGTTCCCGTCACATAAAATATCAGCAAACATTTAGAACAAACATTTCGAAGTGAAAAAAAAAAAAAGTAGAAAAGTAAAAGGAGCCATATTGTTTTATTTGCTAAAATAAAATGTCAGATTTTTATTTGTTTACTTTGTTTTCCACTTTTTAAGCCACTGCAGGGCTGGCCAAAACTCAGTTGGTTAGAGCACATGTTATAACACCAAGGTCAAGGGTTCAAATACCCCTCCTGGCCAGCCACCAAAAAAAAAAAAGCTATCTAAAACCACTGTGGTGCATGAACCTAGGAACCTGAATTGTAATGGCAAAATAAGCTCTTAGACATTTTATTTATGAAATGATCAATACGCCCAAGAAACATTTCAGGCCTTACTAAAAATGGTCACTTTAATTAAATTTATAGTCTAAGAAAATTGTCTTTTTCATGTGATAATTTAAAAGTTATCATTTGGACTTACAGATCATAAATCAGTATCTAAAAACTTTTTCCTTTCTTTTGACCACATTTATCTGCCATGGAAGTTAATTGAATGAGTTAAATGCTGAGAGAAGTCTTCATTTTCAGTGAGATACTGGCGAAGTGATGAGTGCACTCAGTTATGTTTTTGTATCTTGATCAAAGTACTGTATATTTCACAATAATCTGTGGCATGACTACCAGTCGTTGTTCCTGTTTAAGTCTCACTGTGTGGGCCTGCGGAAAGGGGCCCATAACATTCTCAAATCCAATTACTACTTCCGAATTGTAGCTTTCTTTAAAAAAAGGTTTCATCTTTAATTAGTGTGAAATAGCCCTTTCCTTATCTGTTAAAGTATTTGTTTCTTAGTGATTCTGCAGCCAAGAAAGCTGCAATAGTAATATTATGCAAAAAGATGTTAACATTCTCTCTTCATCTTACTGTTTAACTTCAAAGCATTCTTGTGAACAGAAACAAGTTAGGACTATTGAACAAGATGCCAAAACACAAATGACTCTGCAGAAGTCAATGAAATGCAATTACAAAGTGCAATTCTAACTTTGGACTGAATTGGAGAGACCACTGAAAAACAGTAATTAGCCTGAAGAAAGAATAAATACAGAAAAGAAAAAGAAAATCTCGGCATAAAATCCCATTTTGCTAAACTTAGTTCTGGTGACTTTCCCCCATTGTCCAACACCTTTGCAGGAGCTTTCTAAAGGGGAACCCTCATTGCGTTCCCAGTTAAAGGACTTGAAGATTCATCTTCATAGATGAACAAGGACACTTAAGAGTTTGAAATATCTTTCTATAGATAAGAGCTCTCTTTTTAAGCCAACTAAGGCTTCTCAAATGCATTTAACTGCAGAGTCCCTATTTTCCAGATCTTGCTCTCACTTCTAACACCTATTATCCTTCAAAATTGCTCTGAGAAACGTGCTTTGTGAAAAAGTGATCTAGGCATATTTCCTACATGATTTTTTTGGAGGGTCGGGAGAAGGGATTTTAAACGGTTTTTGTTTTTCTCACCTTTCTACACTTCCTTCTCACTGACCTTTATCAGTTGTGTCTACTGTCTTGGGGGGTTAAGCTTCTGTAGAATCTCAGGAAACTTTGGAAGCAAGAGCAGCTTAGGATATCATCTTGATTTAACTAGGGAACTGATGATTATTAGAACTGGTTTGCCCATCCATAGCTGCTGTACCCTTTGGTGCTATTGTGAGAGAGATACATAGTGGGGAATTAAACAGATAGGGTCTGATTCTGTTTGGTATGTATACTGAGTTGTCAGTGATTGTTTATAGCATATTCTCTCCATTTGAACAAGATGGAGTCAAAAGGTACTGAGACCTGAAATTCCACTTGCTTGCACGAACCAGAGTAGGAGCCAGCGGTGTGTAATAGCATAACACTGGGCGACTACATGTGAATTAAAGCACATGAAAACCAAGTCAGGCAGCAGTGAGCGTTAAAAAGAGTGATCTTCACTTATTTTGTTCAAAAGGTACTTGTTCTTGATAAGTCTGAAACTTTTCTTCATATGAAAACTATTTTATATTTGTCACTCATAGGAAAGAAATTCATGTTTTATAAATAAAGAAGAAATGATGGAGAAATATTTTGACTTCAGTCCTATGACATTGGTCGAAATAAAAATGATTTATCATGGGAAACCTAACCAAATAATTGTTATTTCTACACTCTCTTCCCATAGTTATTTGCATTTTTTTGAGAGCTTTGCAAAAAATAGACCTGAAGGCCACTAATCTCTTTTTCCCTTCTTATTTCTACCATCGCATTCAAACAGTAAATTTGCCTGCCTGAAGCAGCCCTCTTCATTCTGTTCTTTCTTAATTTCCAAAGACTAGACAGGGAATTATTAGCAGATTCATTACAAATTCTAGCTTTCTCAGTATATATTTGGTACATTTGCTAATTTTGTTTGTCATCCATGTTTTCCACAGGCTATTCTAAATGTATAATAAATAGCACTAATAATAAAGACTAAAGTTCCTTTATATTTCACACTGAAGTTACAAAAACTTTATTTTACTTTTTTTTTGTTTGAGCTCTGAGTCTGTGAAAGTTAAAATTTTTACAGCAAGCACTGTGGTTTAGATTGTGTTTCCAGTGACATAACTAGTTAAATGTAAACCAGATGTGCTTTGAAGTTTATTTCCAGGAATGTACAGTGAACTGTTTCAATTCCTGGTTCCATGACATTTATAACGTAAAAACATTGTATTTAAAGGAAAACTAAATAGTTGATATTGTTAGTTGTCATTACATGCGTTTATAGTTTTTGAGTTCATAATTGCTTAATTTAAAATAGGGATTTTTAAAATATATAATGTTGACTTTTTTGTCAGGCTTCTTACAAGTGAAAATAATACAAGAATTACATGTGGTCTATCCTCATATTAGTTATCTACTTCCTTTTTTGTTGACTAGTTCCTCTTTTGCACTGTGCTTTCATGAAAGAATTTCAGTTCTCTGGAATAGATGTTTTTATTACAAATCTGTGCTGTATTTATAGAACCTGGTCTTGTATTTTTTTAAAAAAAGGTTTCTCACTACAAATAACCTGAAAGCAAAATGCATTTACGTTTCCTCAGACAGTTTCTGTTCAGGAATTAAATCAGTTCTGCGTACTTCATTAGTAAATTTGAAGTAGCGAAGAAAGAACATACCTGTTTTCCACATTGATTTTTCAATTTGCATTTCAAGTCCACTGACTTGAAAATCAGATCTGAGCCCTGCCCTTTCAGGATCAGTTTAATTTATATTTGACTTGAGATGTTCAAGAGCAATTATTACAGTCTTGTTATTTGTTTACATGTTTTCCTCAGTATAGTAAAGTGTTTTATATTAAATTCAAAGAAATGTTTAGAGGAAAAAAAGTATTCTTGTGAACTCAGAAAGCCTAGTGTTCAACATAAAATGTCTTGAGGTATATTAACCTTTTCAGATAATTAACCATGCAGAGAAAGAATGTGTGTGCCACTTCTTTAAATTGAGTGGTTGAATTTATACTGAAAGTGTCTTTGATATTGTTTCTAGTACTTTAACCAAAGCTTGTATTTATTTTTCATTAACTCATGTGTTAAACTATTTAACTTTACAGGCTTGACATTTTCTTTAGTCACCACTTGAGGACCTAGGCATACTGCAGTTCTGTGTACTCTGACCATCAACAGGAATTGTTTAGATTATGGTATATGATTTGATTTAGGACTCAAGTCAAATTAATGACTGTAGAGGCCTGCTATTTAAAGCACTTGTACTTCATCAAATTTTCTAATTTTTATTTTACCAAAATTAGCCGTGTTTGAAAAAACTTACCAGACTAAACATATAAATGTAAACAGGCTAAAGAGAGGGGAAAGTAAATAGGGACTAGAGAAGAATTCTGTGCCCACAGTGAAAGTTTTAGTTTCCTGATTTGTATCCAGGAGTTTGGAATTAATGCCAGCATTGTGATATTTTGTTTCTAAGATAGGCTTTTTTAATTCTTCAAAGCCTTATGGAACCACAAATGACAGTAACAGTCAACCTATGTTGCACCTGGAATTACATCTTACTGTGGAGGAAAAACTAATCCAATTTATGTAAAGTTGTAGTAATGAAGCACATACTGAACCCTTTCCAAATAAGCTGATCTCTGTAGTCCTCCTGAATCCCCAGTCGTATCGATGTGTATCCACACTGCAAAATGCATGTCTCTATTCCCCATTCACTTTATGCCTCATAGATACGTATTAAAATCACAAGAGCCAAGTTTACCAGACATTCTGGCATAGCATGGCTTGTTGTAATAATATTTTCCAGAAACACATGGCAGTTCTAACAAAATCTTTTCCTTCTGGATTGTAGATATAAATGAATGTGAAAGCAACCCATGTGTCAACGGGGCCTGCAGGAACAACCTTGGATCTTTCAATTGTGAATGTTCTCCTGGTAGCAAACTCAGCTCCACAGGATTGATCTGTATTGGTAAGATTCATACACTGTGCTGCCGTTTCAGTGTTGCTGCAAAAATAAGCACACTTACTGTGGATAAAAACAGAATATGACTGATTATAAGAAACTAATAATTAGGAGTTGCATAAGTTGTTTTCTCTCATTATCATAATAGCATCAACTAGGTAGCCTCTTACATTTTGTTAGATTCTATGAAGTGTTTCTTTCGTATAAGTCAATATAGTGTGCTATAAGTCATAAGCATTCCCATACCACACACAGACTTGTAACCCTAAAAATGCCTTAGGCATCAGTACAATCAAATCCCCACTGCATACATTTTGTAAACAACCTTCAATGATAAACAAAAATGTGGTGGAATTTGGATTCAGTTAACAGGACAAGAATTTGAAGATTTTAAACTTTATAAACACATAGAGGGAATTTATTATTTTTTCCTTTCTTCCATCAATCATAAATTTATAGTCTCCAAGGAAGAGAACTGTTTTCTTGCTTTGGAAAAGCTCTAGAGAGAAAGATTTCAATACTTCTAAGCTAACATCTTTTAATATGTCTCAAATCATTTAAGGTCAGTTTTTGATAACAAAAACTGTATATAAAATGAAATAGTCTGATATGTAACTGTAAAGAAAAATTTAGCATGTGTGAGGGGAAAAAACTGTCCCAGTAATTTTTCCCTTCTTCTACTATCTGTGGCTCTATTCACTAGGCATCCATACCACAATTAATATCATTAGCAAGTCTCTGCCTTTAAATGAGCTAAATATATATTCCATATAGGAAGATATTTCAGTTTTACACAATGCCAAATAAGTTGGCAGTTTTTGTTTGTTTGTTATCTGGCCAAAATGAATTTTCATTTAATATTTGCCAAAGACAGCAGTATTTTCAGCATTATGTCTGATGTTAATCATATTTAGCTGGATGCTGGAGTACCTGCTTGTTACATAAAGAGAAATGACCAAGTCCAGAATTATCAATGAAAACTTTCTCTTTAGAAACTCCAGCTCTTTATTTCCCAATGAGGTACAGCTGGTGAAATGTGAGCCTTGTTCGGCTCTCCATTTTAGGAAGTAGACCGCCATCTGCCTGGGGCATTACTTTTTTTCTTATAGAATTCCAGGTTGGGGGGCTGGGGTGCGGGTTGGATCGCGTAAGGCAGAAATATTTTTGCTAAGCCGCAATTTCCAACTGAGATGGAGTCATTTTATTATGCAAAGGAAATGAACTCAGCATTAGTCAATTAATGTCTCAGAAAACTAAATCTGTATGCCACTTGAGCATCAAAGATATCTTAGTTTTTGCTTCATCGTATAGACTTCTGTTATTTTGGCCTTTTGCTCTTATAGTTATTAATGAAACGAGAACAAAGACTTTTTACTCCCAAGTTATATGTCATTCTCCCAAGTGCCAACAACTAAATACCAACATAATTTTCTCAGCCTGTGTGGTATGTGTTTTCATTCGTTATGATCAAATTTGTATACCCCAGTCTAGAGCTGCCCAGAAATAAATTTACCTAATATTTTTAAATTTTAGAAATCATTTTATCTACTTTTTTTAATTAAAAAGAGAATTCTAGTTGAAAAAAGGATATAAATAGTAAAATATACGTAGAAAAAATTAAGAATGTATTTTTTTTAATAGGACTGTCAGTGGCTGTAATTGGTGCCTTCAACTTTCTCTTTCACAAGGTCCAGGTCTCTAAATTTTGAACTGAAGAAAAATTTCATGATGTGCTTCTAATTTAAAATAAAGTTAGACCACTTATGAATTAATTGGACTTTAAGAATATTTAAGGTTTTAGAATCTATTCTTCAAACTTTCTAAATATAAATTCATCTTAAACTATTCTGCAAACTACTTAAAAAGGCTATTCTATTCTGGTTGCTGTGATAAAATATAATAGAACAGTAAACGTGATTAATCTTTCCTGCACGACACTGCTGTGGCTTGATGGCTGTGGGTAATCTAGACCGGTTTCCCTTATCTTTGGCCTGGGCCTGCACTCTGTCCTCAACCTGCACAGATGTGACAAGGGCAGTGGCTCCCTACTGTCAAATCCAGTGGTCTATTCTTTCCTCATCTTAGACTATTAGCAGTATTTGGCACCACCCCTCACTCACTCCTTCTCAAGAAGTTTTCCATTTTTGGCCCCCCAGCCATGACTATTTTCTTCTCCTTTCGATTTTCTGGCCTGTTTTCTCAGTTTCCTTTGCTAAGTCCTCCTCCTCTTGCCTTCCAAACTGAAGTGCTCCGTCACTTAGTCCTTGAACCTGTTCACTTCTCTGTCCACATTCGTCCTTAGATTGCCTCTGCGTTGACTCAGATTTACTGCTCTACCCTCAATGTCTCCACAAATTCCAGACTTGTATTCCCAACTGTCTGCACAGTGTCTCCACTTAGATGTCTAGCAGACATCTCAAACTTAACATGTCTAAAACCAAATTCCTATCTTATGGCTTGCACCTGTGTCTCCTAGAAACATTTCCATTTCTGCAAATGGCAGCTCTGTTCTTCCAGTTGCCACCCCCCAAAACCTCAGCATGATCTTCGACACCTTTTTCTCCAACTGCACATCAAATCCAGCAGCAAAATCTATTGATGGTACTTGAGGTTTATCCATATTTCAACCACTTCTCACCAACACCAACAACAACCTTTAATCCAAGTCACCATTATTTCTCTTTTTGATTATTATCGTAGCCTCTATATATTACCCACCCCCCCATAGTTGCTATTCTATAGTCTATTTTCCACATAGCTACCAGGTAATTCTTTTAAAACATCAGTCAGAACATGCCATTCCCTTGCTAGAAACCCTGTCTGTTAAAACCTTGGCTTCTCGACTCAGAGTAGAAGCTCACATCTTTGTCAAAGCCTGTGTCACCTCTTGATCTCGCTCCTGCTGTGTCTGTCTCCCACAGCTCTGCCTCCCTCCCCTCCACTGGAGCCATACTTCTTGCTCAGACGTATCAAACATGTGCTCACCTAAAGTCCACTGCACTTAACCTCTCTGGCTGAAATGTTTTTCACCCAGGTCTCCTCATTTTGTTTTCTTTATGCCTCTGTTCAGATGACACATTATAAGTCAGAACTTCTCTTATCATCCTAGATAAATTAAGTCTTTCTCCCCTTTAAACCATCAAGCTGTTTACCGTGCTTTATTTTTTTCAGAGTTCTTAACTAACCCCTTACTGTTTATCTATATCTATATGTAGTGTGAACACATGACAAACAGAGAGAGGACAGAGATGGAGAGAGAAAGCTGTATAGGGTTGGTGGCAGGGGTGTCATCTATCAATGGATTTGTAACTTTTAAGTGTTGGTGCAGTACCAACCTAAAGAAGCATGGTGCTATAGAATGAGGTCTCTGGAATCAGACTGCGTGGGTTTCAATCTTACTGTGTGGGTTTCAATCTTAATGCTTACACTATACTGGCTAGGTGACCTTGGGTAAATTAGTTAACCTCCTATGTGCCTCAGTTTTTTTAATCTACAAGTTGTACATAACTCATAGGGTTGTTTTAACAAGTAAATAAATTAACACATGGAAAGCCTTTGTCACTACCTTAATAAATCTTAGCAATTACTACTACAATTTATTTTACTTAAAATGACTACAGCCAAGGTGATAAATCAGTAAGTAGTCTGGGTCATTATAAGACCATTTAAATACACGGTAGCCTTACACAAGCTTCTCTTTCCTCTGTGCTATGGAATTTACAGGTGTAAGCCTATTGAAAGCCTGTGGTTTGAGACCGGACACGAATGCTGATGAGCAAACCTTTTTCACTTGTGTACAGTTTTATACAAACTGAACATCCAGCCAGAGAAAAAAGCAAAGGAACTGTCCAACTCTTCTCTATGCTCGTGCCCCATAACTTTTTGTATCCAGCCAAGGAGGGAGTTGTTGTTTGTTGTAACCTCTCTCCAAAAGGGTTTGGGCTGTGTTGATCTCCTGTTCCCTGCTGCTGTGTTCTCTAGGGAATCAGAAATGACTCCGCTGTGTTCTCTAGGGAATCAGAAATGACTCCTCCTGTCATAGGCCCGCCAGTTTTATTGTAACTCCCTTTCCACGTTTGTGGGCATTATTTTTGTTTTTGTTTGTTTTTATTGTTGAATTTAGAAGTAAAGCCAGCCTTATCTGCACATATTATTAAATGAGTTTTAAAATACATACTGGAGGAAAATACTTTTGCTTTGTCATTTCCCAAGTCTGTGTGCCACAATATGCCATTAAGGTTTTGTAGGTAGGTTCCACTACCTGCATCAGAAACACCTGAGGAGCTTGTCACCATGCAGATTCCTGGGCTGCACACCTGGAGACTTATAAGTCTGCATTTCAGCAAGACTTTTGGTAATATTATGCATACCTAACTGTTTTATAACGAAAACTTCATATATGATTTACTTTAATCAATTAGTATTTGTTGTGTCAACTTTGACTTGATTCCCTATTACTGCTTCAAAATCAGTTGTTTATTATTTGTTCACTCGAAAAACTTTTTATTATGCCACTAAAAGATTTACTGATTATTCTCTCTAATGCACATGGAGTAAAAATTTTAAAGTGCCCAGAATTTTACTGGGGACTCTTATTATTCAAAAGAAGGAACTTACCTTTGAATGTGGAGAAGGACTCTAAAAAGTTAAGAGTGGTTATCCCTGGATGGTCAGACTACAGGTGATTTTTATATCTTCTTTGTGCTTTCTGTTTCTTCAAATAGTTTACCATAAGCATATTTTTGGTTTTTTGGGTGTTTTTTTCGGGGGGAGGGGGGTTGCAGCTGCCCGGTACAGGGATCCAAACCTCTTGACCTTGGTATTACAACACCACGGTCTAACCAACTGAAACATGTATTGTTTTTTGAGCTAGGGATAAATCTACATATACATATGCATAGTAAAATGACTGAAAGAAAATATACCAGATATTAGCCCTGGGTCTGTCTTCCTGGTGGTTTTATAGATAATGTTTATTTTCTTCTTTGTTTTTTAGGGTTTATTCCTTTCAAATTACTTATCAAATAGTTATTTTCTGTTGGAGAAATACTGGCTCCTCTATAATAGGACATTTATTGTGTGCGTTTATTTGGTAGGGAATTAAGAAAGAAAGGGGTTTTCTGAAGGATTTTATTTGATAAAATCTTAAATATCAAAGCATTTATCATAAAGGATAAATCTTGTGAATATTTTTCACACAAGTGATGGTCTTATCATTGTAATGATCATGTTTCTAAGTACCACCATAAAATCTTAAGCAACTGTATATTAGTAGATATCAATAGATATAATCCCAGAATATAAATAGATATAATTGTATTAATTACCATATCATGTGAGATATGTATATAGAAAAATATTTGATTTTTCATGTATGTATCATATACCATATTTGAATACATGCATATGTATGTTCAAAGGAATATGTTATTTAAAGTTTTGAAAATTAATCCTGCTGTTTTTTAAACATTGTAACAAATACCTTTTGTGTACACAGCAGCGTTATATTTTCTTCAGCGATAAGAACTCCCCACCCTTTCCTATTCCTTTTCAGACAGCCTGAAAGGGACGTGTTGGCTCAACATCCAGGACAACCGCTGTGAGGTGAATATTAACGGAGCCACTCTGAAATCCGAATGCTGTGCCACCCTCGGAGCTGCCTGGGGGAGCCCCTGTGAGCGGTGTGAACTAGGTAGGAGCCTGACCGAGTGGCATTTAAAAATTGGAAAGTGCCCAGGATTTTACTGGGGACTCTGCTATTCAAAAGAAGGAACTTACCTTTGATGTAGAGACAGACTCAAAAGCTTCTCCCTCAACTAGGCACCTTTTCCACTGTGTATTTCCTTAGTGAAGAAGACCATAAAATCATTTACCCTTCCTAAAGTGTCTTTTCTGGTTAGCTTTTTTCACCTCTTGAGATGTGCATTTGGTTTATCCTGGTATTACAAGCAGATGTTCTGAATATTTTAGACAACGAAGGGAATCATCTAGAATGTAGTTGCTAGATGGTAACTGTCTGTATCCTCCAGTATCTTGTGTGCATGTGTCTCAGGAGGTCATGATGGCTCTTTCCCTTGAATTTTTTATTTACTTGTAATTCAGTTGTCAATGTGAGAGCAAAAAGGAATTGTGGGAAAAATGATGATAATGTCAATATGGGTCAACACTGATGGAGCGACCACAGCAAGTCTTGTGCTCTACTGAACTGAAGAAGGGATAGATCGAGTCCTCGGCCTCTAAAACCCCACCTTGTGGTTTTTGTTCAGTTCAATTTAGATTCTATTATACTGTTCCTTGAACTTAAAGCAGTTGTAATTTCTTTTATAGTGAAGTAAAAATATGTCCTATTGTTCATACAGACACCGCTTGCCAAAGAGGGTTTGCCAGGATTAAAGGTATTACTTGTGAAGGTGAGTGTGTTCTTGGATGACATTGTAAATGTTTAGGACAGTGCATAAAATTCACATTCATGCTCAAACGTTCAACATATTTATTATTTTCAAAACCCTTTAAATTTCAATAAAAATACTCAATGTAATCAACAATTCTTTACCGTAATACTCTTAGGAAACAGCTTAGTTTCCCATTTCTCCTCTTTATGCAGTTGGGGAAATTTCATAAAGACGTCGCTAGCCTTAACAGCACCGTAGAGCTGGCAGAGGAGCACGTCTGGGCTGTGTTTTATGGACAAGCAAGGCCGTGGTGATTTTCACGGCTGGTACCTAGGAAACCTGGTGGCTGGGCTGTGGAATATTTCTGTTTAACTCCAGTAATAATCGACATTGTATTGCAGATTGAATGTGCTATGCAGGAAGTAAGACTACGCCTGCTTTTTCTATTTGTCACATCTTTCCCCCTCTGCTTACTCCATTTCCCTGCAGACGTTAATGAATGTGAGGTGTTTCCTGGCATTTGTCCAAATGGACGCTGTGTCAATAGCAAAGGATCTTTTCATTGTGAGTGCCCTGAAGGCCTTACGTTGGATGGAACTGGCCGTGTGTGTTTGGGTAAGACTCATGCCCTCATGTATTTTATACATGAAACCAGCCATGAATTTTCTTGTCCTTTGGGCAGTGGCCCGTTCAATACCACTGAGTCTGTACATAGGAAAATGTGCTTTAAATGAGATATTTTGAGGGAAATCACTAGAGGATTTTTAAAAGTGAATGTATTTAAGTGAAACTGTTTCTGTTTAATACAAAAATTTGGTACTGCTCAATAATCCACCTCAAAAGTTTCACATTCTTTAATCAGATACTTTAGGAAGGTTCAGTCTTTCACATTTAGTTAACTGGATTTTTTAAAAAACTATGTATGTTTTGAACACAGAAGAAAAATTGGGGACTAGTATTTTAAAAGTTAACATTTATAAGTTCATTGCAGCTGCACTAAGACAACGGGAAAAGTCATGGGCAAAGTTATGTTGTTTTTGTTTGAAAACACTCACTGATCCTGATCTTTCCTTTAACTCCTTTAAAATTTAAATTTTCTTAATACCTTATTTTTTAAATATCTGAAATAAGAAATCTTTCTTTCAACACCGTATTATAGGAATGGTTATTTGTTCTTATTCTTTATCGGTAAATGAACTTGAATTTCATAATTGAAAAAGAAATTTCTATCAATTCTATATTTTTTGTAAACAACAATTTTTCATTTTTTTCAATAAGCTACAAACAGTAAATTTTTAATTTGTAAAACAAGTTTACATAGGTTTGTATTTAAAATTTAAGCTTGCAGACAAAGCATGAGCAATGGTGGCATTATATTTAATGAACTTTAGGCATTAAATATATCTATGGTTTTTAAATTACTAGTAAGAAAAAATGCTGTACGGTGTAGTTATTATAATTAACACATCTTACTTTAAATTAATTTTTGACAGCATATTTAAATTGGGAAGAAAGCATAACTGTAAAATTATATGGAGTTATTTAGAAAGCATAATATGCAAAGTACTAAAATAGACAAATCTTTAAATTAATTTTTGACAGCATATTTAAATTGGGAAGAAAGCATGACTGTAAAATTATATGGAGTTATTTAGAAAGCATAATATGCAAAGTACTAAAATAGACAAATTCTTTTCAAATTTTTAAATCTTTAAAAAATTATCTTAATATTATGTACAATGTTTAGAAAAAAATAAATATCGTTTGAAAATGACAAAATGATGGTATCAGTATGGTCAAATGATTAGTGAAATCAAGTTGCCTTCAGTAACCAAAGGATATCATATATGAAGATATATCATTGATTGTAAATTATCATTCAACGAATAAATTTCCAATAACATCACTCAAAATCAAAGTCTTTGTAATAATCTGAAAGGATATATTGGATTCTTCATCCTTATGCTTTTGTTAAATATTTTTCTCAGTACTCAAATTATGCTACATTAATTCATTCTGTCTGGAGATATAAGAAAGTTTCAGTGAAAGATCGGCATATGAAAATGTGAAATATTCTGAGAATGAAAGCAGTGGTAAATTGTTCTGATAGGACTTCATCTAAATCAGGGATCCCAAACCCAAATGCTTGCTGGAGCCAGGCAGGTAAATAAAGGAGTGAAGTGATAGGGAGCAGTGGGGACTGCAGCAAACCGCAGAGCACATGTACCATCCCAAGGTTTCCACATTCATATTTTAATTTCTTCTTTTTTTTTTTTTTTTTGTCTTTTGTCTTTTGTCTTTTTCCATGTCCGGCAACGGATCGCAACCCTCAGTGTTGCCCCCGCGCCTCGCTCAGCCAGTGAGCGGGAACCAGTCTGTATGTGGGATCCGAACCCTCGGGCGGGAGCACCGCCGCGCTTCCCAAGCGGCGCACTATCCAGTGCGCCACCAGGCCGGCCCCATATTTTAATTTCAGTGCAAGCCAATCAAAGCATTTATAAACCTTTTTTGACCAGTGTGCTGATTCCCGATGTAAATATTGATATGAATCTCAGTAGTAAAAACACAGGATTACTCCTCCAGGCTATCGTAACATTTTACATACTTGCTCAAATGCCTCTCCCCACCCCCAGTTTATCCCAGAATGGCTTCTTAAGCAAATTACTTCAGTGACCTCAGAAACAGTGTGACTCAGACTACCTGTACTTATATAAAACTTTCACATCTTATGAAGATCCTTATTTCCCTGGTGACAGTGTTGGGTGGCACTGGCTATAACTGAGACCAGCCCTGGGACCCTTGTGATAATGAGACTGGATTACTGTCACACTTCAGTCAGGCAGAGAATGTGGCTTTTTGGTTAGAGGTAATATAGATATATAGGCAGAAGTACCTACTGTGAATATTCAGTCTTCAAATCAAAATGAATATTTACCACAGTTATTTTTTCTTTAAAAATGGGACTTTTTAGTTGCAATACTTGGAAATGTTTGTAACTGTAGACTAAAGGCAGTTGCTAAAGTTGATGTTACCTTTGGTTGAGAACTTGAAAGAATCAGTATTGACAGTAACTAAAATAGTAAACATTAATTTATTTATGTGTACATTTCTATCAGGGATATTTATTTCTCTGTTAGATAGTTTTCGGGTTGAGAACAGGATTTAATGTCTTGAAATGCTCTTATCGAATAAATCATGTTATTTGATTAAGGAAAACCTTTTTTGAACTCATTATTCATATTTGTAGTTAAACTATCAAGTGTTTGAATGTAGTTTGGCCAGAGACTCTCTTGGCTAACAGATGATGTGTTATTTATAGACTGTGCGGGTTTGCCCTTTTTTATGACTGTTTATTGATGTTGTGAGGTCCTAGCTAGCACAGACTAAGCACTGAAACATTGGTATGTTTCAAAGCTGAAGGGAAATAAGATATTTAAACAAATGATTTGGCTCCTTAATACGACAGATTTACATAATCCAGGGCAAAAACCATGATACAAAGTTGACAGGGGGAAAAAAAAACTTCAAATGCAGTAATATCATTCCTTCTTTTTTTTTTTTTTGTCTTTTGTCTTTTTCCGTGTCCGGCAACGGATTGCAACCCTCAGTGTTGCCCCCGTACCGGACCGGGGACCGGCAACGGGATCGCAACCCTCGGTGTCGCTCCCACGCCTCGCTCAGCCAGTGAGCGGGAACCGGTCTATATATGGGATCCGAACCCTCGGGTGGGAGCGCCGCCATGCTTCCCAAGCGGCGCACTATCCAGTGCGCCACCGGGCCGGCCCTATCATTCCTTCTTTTATAGAGCAATTTTAAAAGTTGTACCAAATTGGTAAATAGATCACAGCTGATCATTCATAGTTTTTGACTAGGATCTGACAGGACTGCTCAAAAGTCACCTTAAGTAATTTAGTGAACAAGGAGAATCTGTCACTGAAGTTATTTTACTCTTTCTGAAGTGAGCAATACAAAAAAGGGATCATGGGCGATGGCCTGAAGGAGGCCTGTCATGAGGGGACCTTATCTTCCTGAAGGTTTCTGATGAGAATTAAGTAATACTGAAGAGAACCCACCTTTGCTCTCCCTAAATGACTGCTCTCACGGAGTCCATCCCAGGAGTGCAGGGACTGTAGTTCTCGCCCACCAGTGCATCCCCAGGGCCCGGCGACCTGCCTGGTGCTGAGCACACGCTTGGTATATGAACATTCAGTGGGTGTTTCGGTTTATTCTCCAACTGTGGTCTCGCTCTCGGTGTAGATATCCGCACGGAGCACTGTTACTTGAAGTGGGATGAAGATGAGTGCATCCACCCTGTTCCTGGAAAGTTCCGCATGGACGCCTGCTGCTGTGCAGTTGGGGCAGCCTGGGGCAGCGAGTGCGAGGAATGCCCCAAACCCGGCACCAAGGAGTACGAGACCCTGTGTCCCCGAGGGCCTGGCTTCGCTAACAGAGGGGACGTTCTTACCGGGCGGCCATTTTACAAAGGTACCTGCCTGGATCCCTCTGCACTGACAGGACGCCTTCCACACTCTCTGAGAATTGCTTATTCCCAGCCTTATGGCCCAGGAGTCTATAGCACCTGCGTGAGACGGTATTGAAGTCAAGCTAGAAAACAGGCTGCTCCTCTGGCTTCTGCTGCTCCTTGGCGTTCCCTCCCACAGCCTGAGGAGAGGTGGCCTGACAGCTATGTCCCCAGCAGAAAGTCCTCTGTCCCCACTTACCTTGACAAGACAAATGGCCAGAAATAAAGGGATCAGAACTCTTTATTGAGAATATAGAGTCTTTCACAGTGGAAACTTTTTGTGTGGTGTCACTGTGATCATTGAAGAGCTGTTATTTTTATTTGGGTACATTATTTTTTTTCCATCACTATAGATTTTTACCTTAAAGTAGTGGACCTACTCTTTTATATCAACCAGCTCTACATTGCAGCTTTGTTCTGCTTTTAGATATCAATGAGTGCAAAGCATTTCCTGGGATGTGCACCTACGGAAAGTGCAGAAACACGATTGGAAGTTTCAAGTGCCGTTGCAACAGTGGCTTTGCTCTGGACATGGAGGAAAGAAACTGCACAGGTGAGGCGGCTCTGCTGATTTATTTGGTAAACATGGGCTCTCTTTCTTCTGCTCTCTGAAAATACCGCCTTCAAAAGCCCATCCTCTCACTGAGAACATGTAAATTTTGATTTTTATTTCTTCTCCCTCCACATAAACCAGTCCTCCAAATAAACTTGTTGTGAGAAACCTGCAAAATAGCATGAAAATGCTGTTTATTTATGGGAAAAGTATAAAAATATGATTTTGAAAATATATGAGTACTACAGAATATAACCATTAAATCCACAACAATTGTATAAACTCGAATACTATACTTCTAGCTTCTTTCCTGACCTCCACACCCTCTCATGACCCTATCTTGTCCCTTTCTTCTTTATTGAGATCAAATCTGATGGCCAGTACCCTTCTTGCACAGCCTTCTCTCTGGTTTCAGAGGCTGGGAAGTCCAAAGTCCAGGGAACACATCTGGTCCCATCCTGGCTCTGTCCTAGTGGTGACTGCAGCAATTCAGTGTATCCCATTTCAAAATAGCTGAGCAGAGAGAGACTAACCTCTCATGTGTTCTTCTTTTAAAACCCTCAGAACCACACCCCTGACCACCATTATTAATCCATTTACTAGGCATGGTCCTCAGAATCTAATCACCTCTTCAAGGCCCTACCTTTCAATTACCATAATAGGATTTCCCACCTTCAGCAGTTACAGTGGGGATCAAGCTACTTATATGTAAAACTTAGAAGACACAATCCATATCAGCCTGTAATAGGGCAATAGAGAAAGACTAAAAGCTGGGGGAAAGCAGAGACTGAGGACTCCCAGAAGAACATGCACAAGTTATGCACTGACTAAGTCTCATGAGAGAAAAACTTAAAAAATAAATTCATTGCAATAAAGAGAGAGTGGCAGAAGCATATTTCCCCACTGTGACAAATTTTTGGATTTAAAATTTTTAACTTTTAATTTTTAAATTAAAAAAATTTTAAATAGGCCATGTTTAAACATATATATATATGATTTATTGAAACATGACTGTTTAAACATAGACATGACTTTTCTATCAAAAAGTCTTAGTTATTAGAATGGGAGATTTTTCAGAGAATCCTGTTTTTGAGCATATAGACACGGCTCTTGAAGATTTTTATTTACTGTAATTTATAAAAGGTAATGAACACAAACTGTCATTTTCCTTTATTTTTTAAAAAAATTAGACCAGTAAGCTCTTCACATCTGAATGTAACACAAAAACCCAAATTGGGGCATACCCCATGGCCCTGCCACATATGTGTGCCCTCTGGCTCAGGTCAGCTGCTGGTGTGTGACCCTGGGCTGTCTCCCTGTGGTCTGCAGCACCTGCTCAGGGGCAGTGGCCCTGTCTCCTCAACCTCCCACCGGGGATGCTGCAGAACCAGCAGTGCCTTCAAGTCCCGCACAGGACTTCATTCCAGATTTACGCTGCTTCCACTTGCCGCCTGCCTCCTTCAGCCCATCCCACAGTTGCTTGGCTCATTTTTCTGTTACCATTTCTAAGCCACAAAGAGAAATCCACAATTCCAGAATTCTTAAAGGCAGAAAGTCATCACCTGCCCGTTGGCTGTGACAGTTACGGCAGTTGGGGAAAGGAATGCGTGTAAGGCTCTGTCCCCCTCTATCTGATCTACTGAAACCACACCTCTGCACTGTTAGCCACTGATGTCCCCAACATTTCAAGCGTGGGGCACTTTCGCGTGGAAGACGAGATCCCTCTCGCCGCCTTTACCTTTAATGCCTTCTCATCTCGTTCTGTGTTCTTTTTCTTTTAAACTGTGTGACGCAGACATCGACGAGTGCAGGATTTCTCCTGACCTCTGTGGCAGCGGTATCTGTGTCAACACCCCGGGCAGCTTTGAGTGCGAGTGCTTCGAGGGCTACGAAAGTGGCTTCATGATGATGAAGAACTGCATGGGTAAGCCAGCCCAGCATGCCTGTTCCACCCACCTCTGCCTGTCTCAGAGCTGTGAAGGGCAAGTTCAGCCTGGAGCAGCGGGGACAGAGAAGAGATTTAAATGTCAGACGGGAAACCTGCTCCCAGATAGCTCTCGAGGAGCCCCAACCTCCTGACACCTTAATGACAGCAAGATGTTGAAACTAGATTCTGTTTACTCATAGTGCCAAAAATCAGTTTTTAGATTTTGGGTGACCCCAAAGTTTGTATTGTCATGTTAATCCCATGTTATTTCCCTTATTTGTATGTTATTAAAAACGCTTTTGGCATTGCCAACCTTTTAGCCCACTGCTTCATTTTCAGTGGCTTTTAGGACTCGCCTCGTAGGATGGAGTGGGTGACGAGTCTACGATTTTTCTTTCATTTTGATTAGAGACATAGACATAAAGCAAATATTGTTTATTTTTACCTCTTGTGAGCCTGCTCATTTCATGAAAGTGAATTTCTTGATAGCTTGCTATCTTTGAGAGCAGGATGTTTACAATTTTTCTACTGGTAGTAGGAAAAGTGAGGAGAACATTATTTCACCTCCTGTTAATTGTATCTCTTACATTTGGTTCACACACCTACCTCGGCTGATATTCTCTCTCCCATGCTGTATGTGCGAATATTGTTCTCCTCAGAGTTCTTTAATGGATCTCACGTTTTTACCTTTCAGACATTGACGAATGTGAACGTAACCCTCTCCTTTGTAGGGGTGGCACCTGTGTGAACACTGAGGGCAGCTTTCAGTGTGACTGCCCACTGGGACACGAGCTGTCACCATCACGTGAGGACTGTGTGGGTGAGTTTGTCCCCTCAGCACATAAACCCACTGAGCACAACTGGTAAACATCAGGGATCAATTCTAACAAACTTGTTGTTTGGGGGCACATGAAAACTAGCTTATTAAAAGTTGGAAATTCAGATTCCCTACATCTGGATTTGGGCTGTGTCCTTAAAGGATGCTTCAGTGACACACTGAAAGGAGTTGGCATTATTCTGGTGGCTGTCCCTCTGTAAGGGGCCTTGTGTAAGACCATGTGGTTCCGTCCTCCAGGTGGGAGAGAATGGGAAGGTTGCCCCTGGTCAAAGGGCTGCCTTCTGATTGCTCACCTGTGCACACACCTGTGCACTGTGCGTCCCCCACCCAGCGTCTTCTCCATCCACTCAGGCTGAGTCCACTCTCATGGATCTTGCACATGTGTGTGAATGTGTGAGCTCCCTCCACCCCTACTTCTCACACAAACCCCGTGCTCTCTCCTAGCCCTGAGCTCAGTAGGGATGGCAGAGGGCTTTTAAGAAGACTAATGGCTGCTCCTTGAGCATTCCAACCTCTTGCTTTTCATAAATGTATGAAGGCCTCTAGGCTTACCATGTTCTAATATACTGGCTTTAAAACTTTGATTTAGTCAGGAAGCATTTTCTTCACAGGAACTCTTTCTTGAAACTAAGCAAACCAGCTTAAAATAGACCAAATCAACCCCTACTTCTCACACAAACCCCGTGTTCTCTCCTAGCCCTGAGCTCAGTAGGGATGGCAGAGGGGTTTTAAGAAGACTAATGGCTGCTCCTTGAGCATTCCAGCCTCTTGCTTTTCATAAATGTATGAAGGCCTCTGGGCTTACCGTGTTCTAATATACTGGCTTTAAAACTTTGATTTAGTCAGGATGCATTTTCTTCACAGGAACTCTTTCTTGAAACTAAGCAAACCAGCTTAAAATAGACCAAATCACACACCACATTTAATAAAATAATTTGAGCACACTTTGTTAATACATAAATATTTATTTATAAGCCATATACATCATGCATCCCAAACAACCAGGATTCATTCTGAGAAATGCATTGTTAGGTGATTTCATCATTGTGCCAACATCATAGAATGTACTTACCCAAACCTCGATGTCATAGCCTACTACACACCTAGGCTATATGCTATAGTCTATTGCTCCTAGCCAGCTTCACCACAAACAAGTGAGTAATGCATTGTGCAATGACGCTACTGTGGCTACAATGTCACTAGGCAATAGAAATTTTTCAGCTCCATTATAATCTTATGAGACGACCATAGTTTATGTTTTCCATCAGTGACTAAAATGTTGTCATGCAATACATGATTCTATATTGCTATGCTAATATATGAAGTGAATCTTACATCAACTAAGCAGACATTTTAAAAGATAGATTAAAAGTTTTGAATATTTTTATTTCATTTTAATAGTTGTAGGAAAAAATTGTTACGCTGATAACTACAGAATATTTATTCACTGTTGAACATATTGTGGTTCAGTGATTCAGGAACCTGTTTCTAAGTTCAGCTTATTTCTTACTTAGTTTTTATGAATCTTGTAGCTGGAAAAAAGCACCCCTCAAAATTACAATGCACAATATAAAATATATATTTCTGTACAACATAAAATACTTACTTAATGATCATAATAAATCCATGTCACATAGTCGTCTTAGTAATTTTGAGAATTTGGGATGAATTTTTTGTTAATATCTAATTGTATTGTTATTGTTTTTACCTTATATTGTGTCTGACAAGGAGCTCACAGGAGGGAATGTGTCACTCTGCCATTTCCTTGCTGTTCTCTTGTGACTGCATTATTAGTACTAGTTTATTGCGCAGATCTCTGCATGAGTTTTTTAAAGGCACTTGCCCATCTTATAAGAGTTTATTTTAAAATAGGCAATATAATTTGTAGATCCACCTGGTACATACATACAATGCGATGAAAACAAGTAACAAGTGAGGGCACTTTGTCATGCCTCTCTTTTATGGGGCCAGCCATCTTCCCTCAGGAAACTTCAAGTTATGTAGGTAACACTTGACCATTTAATAATGACCAGGTGAGCGTGATAGTATAAATTCATATATTAAATAGTAGTAAGCTTCATTTCTGGAATGTGCCAGATCTCCATGGTCTAACATCATAGTCTTGAGCAACAAGTGGGTATGTAAATTTAATTAAAATTAAATTGCATTAAAAATTCCTTTGTCACGATGTCCATGTTTGAATGCTCAATAGCATAAGGACAGCATAGATATGGAAGTTTCGTCATTGTAGAAAGTTCTACTAGACAGAAGTGTTGTAGGTACAGATAACAAGTAGAGATTCCAGCGTTTTCTTTGAACAGCAAAGAAATCATCTTATTTCCTCCTGAACTATGCAAAGCCCTTGCAGACCCCTGCCCCAATGAAGCACATTCATGATGACTTCAGTGATTTGGCTGTTGCGTAAGAATGTTAATTCTGTGTATCTGTTGTAGATATTAATGAATGCTCCCTGAGCGACAATCTCTGCAGAAATGGGAAGTGTGTGAACATGATTGGAACCTATCAGTGCTCCTGCAATCCTGGATACCAGGCCACGCCAGACCGCCAGGGCTAATGTCCATGTTTGAATGCTCAATAGCATAAGGACAGCATAGATATGGAAGTTTCATCATTGTAGAAAGTTCTACTAGACAGAAGTGTTGTAGGTAGAGATAACAAGTAGAGATTCCAGCGTTTTCTTTGAACAGCAAAGAGATCATCTTATTTCCTCCTGAACTATGCAAAGCCCTTGCAGACCCCTGCCCCAATGAAGCACATTCATGATGACTTCAGTGATTTGGCTGTTGCATAAGAATGTTAATTCTGTGTATCTGTTGTAGATATTAATGAATGCTCCCTGAGCGACAATCTCTGCAGAAATGGGAAGTGTGTGAACATGATTGGAACCTATCAGTGCTCCTGCAATCCTGGATACCAGGCCACGCCAGACCGCCAGGGCTGTACAGGTAAGGAGTGACAAGCAGGTCTGAAACTTGCATTTTTCAAGTCATCTAGGAAAACCTTTGGCGCTGAATATATAATATAATGAAGCCTATGAGAATCCCGTGTCCCAAAAATGAATCTAAGAATGGGGGCAGATCTCTAAGATGCCATGGTTGGTTGGTTTTGCAGTGGATTCACTGGTCTTATTTTAGAAAATGCTCTAAACTCCATAGTTATTATATTTCTGAGTTCTTTAATCTTAAGGTACTGGAGTTAAATGTCAAATGGAATGCTTTTTAAAAGGGAAGTAAAAAGAACTAAGAAGGACTAATGGTATAGTGATAAACCAACACAAATAGTAGGGAGAAAAATCCTAAGCCATTCAAGAATTATCTGTTTAAAAAAGAGAAAAACTCCTTATGTTTTTTTTAAGGAAGTAGACCTTACAAGTAATGTGTTTGCCATGTTGTTTTCCCAGATATAGATGAATGTATGATAATGAATGGAGGCTGTGACACCCAGTGCACTAATTCAGAAGGAAGCTACGAATGCAGCTGCAGTGAAGGCTATGCCCTGATGCCAGATGGGAGATCGTGTGCAGGTGGGGAAAAGAACACACACAGACTTTGTACATCTAAGTATTTTATCTTACAAATGTAGCTCCAGATATTATTGAGTGGAACTGGACAGGAAAAAAAAAAAAACATTTGAGGGTGATGAAAGGCATCCTTGCTTTCATTTGATGTTCATTTTGTGTCATCAGATATTGATGAATGTGAAAACAACCCTGATATCTGTGATGGTGGCCAGTGTACCAACATTCCTGGAGAGTATCGCTGTCTCTGTTATGATGGCTTCATGGCTTCAATGGACATGAAAACATGCATTGGTGGGTATCATGAGAAAAGGATAGATGGTTATACACACTCCAAATTGCCTCTCTCTTTTTTCTCTCCACTTTCTTTCTTTGCTCACCCCATCCATTTTACCTCTTGTTCCCTTTCTCTACTAAATAGTGTCAGCCTTTTGTGCACAGGTGGGGCTAGGAAGTGCCAAAGTCAGGGTTTTGGACCAGGTGTTTCTCATTGCTCAATTTAAGATTTGCATATGGCATTTTGCTCAAGGCAGGAGGTGGGTGGCTTAGGATGCATCCCATCCCTAAAGTTGACCGTCCCTAAAAAGGCAAGTAATAAAAGAAAGTGTACTCTGCATACTCACCACTAGCGGGGTTGATGTGAAGCCAGGAGCATGTGTGCATGCATAATGTCCACATATACTATACGTAATCACTGAACTAGGTAGAACAGACTATTCTTTATATTCTAGAAAGCTTTGAGGAACCAAATCTACATAGGTTATGCATACATATGTGTATATATATATACATATATAATGTACACATAAGTATATATATATATATATACTGCAAAAAATTTGTGGAAAAATAGAATTAAAAAATAACATGGATCTTTCCATGAACTTTTTGAAGACTCCTCATATATGCGCATATGCACACATGCAGGTAAATGCGTCTGGTACACTTTCCAGATATCATGTCCAGTGAATATTTTTCTATATTCTCAGATAAATAGAAGAAACAAACATGCATATCTAAATGATAGTTTTGAAAACTCTATAAAATATTTCATTGACTTTTAAAATGACAAATGATGATGTAATTTTAAAAAGAGAATGGACTATTACTTTTTTAAAGAAGTCAGTCTTGTTCTTATCTTCATGAAAAGTGTGTAATGAATATTAATAGGAAGGAATAGCATGTTCTCTTTTTGGAAATAAGATTTCTCTTGACATCTATAATCAGGTGTCCTCTACACAGAATTTTGCCTGGGCCCAGGCAGGAAGTAAGTTCCTGGGGTGGGTAGGGGATGACACACACACCTGCCGAGAGCAGTGGCTGCTATGTCTCCCTGCTCCCAGAAAGTGTCTGGCAGTTTCTTCTAGGGAAAGACTTGTTAGATTCAGATCATGATCTTCCAAATCTTGTTGGAATCTACAAAAATTAAAAATAAAAGTGATGTTAATATTTTCTCTGTACAGTTCTTTATATACTTTAAAATTTTACCAATAGAGAAATATACTCAGAAGTGGAACCAATTGGTTTGCTTTTTATCTTTTTCATATTAACTCTGGTTTCTCAGATGTGGACGAGTGTGAAATTGGTGCTCACAACTGCGACATGCACGCTTCATGTCTGAATGTCCCAGGAAGCTTCAAATGTGGCTGCAGAGAAGGCTGGGTTGGAAATGGCATCAAATGTATTGGTGGGTTTGCAAATATAAATATCCCTTGCTAAGACTCAAAGTTTGTAAAGCTTCTTTGTGCACAGTTACTAACCCACACACTTGCATAGGAACATACTCTTCACTTTCATTTACTCTCTTGTAAATCAAAGGCTGTCTTTAGTTACAAGACAATTTTTGCTAAGAGTTTCTTTTAGCCTTAATATAAATGATCAAATTACAACAGTATGCCTTGGCATCTGCTTTTTAATGTGTTGTTGTTTGGAAAAATTATTCGATGTGCAGCCAGTGATCCAAACAGCTGTATGATGAAAAATGACTAATATGTTTTTCCAGTCTTTTCATAGAGTAATCAGTGAGATTTTAAAACCTGGTAAAATAAATGGAGAAAATGAGAAGTATTTTTCAGATAGCGTAAGTTTATAATAAGTAGTCAATACCAGCTTCTTGCTAGAAGATACAATTATTCTTAGAGTCAAACCTGAATGTTTGTTGGATTCCAGAGATCTGACTTGAAGAAAGGAGCATAGGAAGGCAGTTTCTCCAAGTTTTGTAGTTCTTAAGCCAGAGTCTAATAAGTCTTCTATAGCTGTGAGGCAGGGCACTGGATTATATACCCTTAGTATCATTCTCAGTGCTATTTAATAGGCTCAGTGTTTTACATGCCTTAACAATAAAGCATTTTTCTAACTGGTAAAAATTATCCGGGTCAGTTGAAAATAGAGAAGAAAGCAAGCTGAACTGACCTCCGCACAATTACTCATAAAAAGCTTACAGACCAGCAGTAAGGATTAGAGAATAGCCTAAAATCTCTTACCAATAGTATAAGTTAATTTGAATACACTTTCCTATCTATTCAAATATTTCATACCTGTCAAGTGTTTATGAACTGACTATAGAATTTAAATTATCACAGTGTCCAAATAACTTTGCTAAGTAATGTCCTGCAATGGCTTCATTAAGTTCACAAGCTGCCTCTTCCTAGTCCAGTCAACTCTCTATCCTTAATCTCACAACTTTTCAGCCATATCCTCATTCCCGTTTTCCTAGCCACATGTATATCTACTATTTTTCTCTCTTTTAGCCTCCTTTTTTGTGCTTCTTGTCCATCTGTCACCCTGGCATCACAAGACAGCCCTCCTCCAATACAAGAAATTCAACAGTGTCCCGCACCTGTGCTGCAAAACATCAAACATCGTCTCCATCCTCTCTCTCCGTTGCGTCTAACCCGGCCGATCTAGTCCTAACCACTTTCCCACCCCTAGCTCCTCCACTGGGCACTAAGAGAAGCCCCTCATATGTCTGCTTATTTGCTCTCCGTTCCCCCTGCGATCCATTCTCTGCACAGCAGGAGGAGAGTTTTGAACCACAGATCTGATCTCTTCACAATCTTATTCCCCATGAAATTGAGGATAAAATCCAGCTTCCTCCCCTGGTTTGTAAGACACACAGAATGTTCCCGCTGTTTCTCGAGCTCCATCTTTCATCATCTTCCATCTCCTGCATTGCGCTTTCCCTCTCTGACCTCCTTTAATTTCTTTTGTCGCACCAAGCTATTTTCCTCCTCTGTGTCTTTATATGTGCTGTCCCCTCTGCAAGGGATAGTCTTCCCTGCTGGTGTTCAGTGAGCTACCTCCTCTTCATCCTTCTGGTCTGAGGATAACTAAAAGTTCCTTCCCCAGTGAGGCCTACCTTGTTCCTGCAAGTGCCCAAATTAGATGCCTTTATTCTCTCACTGCACCTTGTGACTTTTCTTCATTGTACATATAACAATATTGGTTTTTTCTGTGTTTAACATCTGTCTTTCCTGCTAGACTGTGGTCTCCAAGAGGGCAAGAATCATATCTCAGTTTCCTCATTTACATAAAACAAACTTGAAAATGCTATGCTAATTTTTCTGTCTGAAATTCAGTAGTATCTTAAAAATTGACCCGTTTTTACTAAAGGGAACTGGCAATAAAATCCACACTCAGCAGAAATGAGAATGGAATCTAACACTGCTTTCTTTTAACCATTTAAATTCTAATTGATTAGGTATCTCACAAGATGCTTGAATTCATCTTTTTGGCCCACATTTGTGACGTGGACATTTTAGGTTATGGGTCTGTGACCCATAGAATTAGAGCTGTGACCATGCAGACAAATAAAAACACATTCCATTTGGCCACTTCATATTTTAATTAAAACATGAAAATCTTTCTAGGTGTTTAAATGTTCCATTTCCATTTCTAAACTTTATTGCTGTGTTCTCTTGGCATGCAGATCTGGATGAATGTTCTAATGGAACCCACCAGTGCAGCATAAATGCTCAGTGTGTAAATACCCCTGGCTCATACCGATGTGCCTGCTCTGAAGGTTTCACTGGAGATGGCTTTACCTGCTCAGGTAGGTGACAGTCCTGAGATGTACTCTGATGTGATTGTCATGAAACACTTTATGTGCTTTCCTAATTTGAAAAAAACTGTAGTTAAAGGAGGCTAAGATACCAACTTCTGTTTTTATACTTGACTTACAGGTAAAAATGTATCTTCCTCTTACATTAAACACAAAAACCTGAATGATTTTCCAAAACATTGGAGNTATTCTAGAAAGCTTTGAGGAACCAAATCTACATAGGTTATGCATACATATATGTGTGTGTATATATATATATAATGTACACATAAGTATATATATATATATATACTGCAAAAAATTTGTGTGTGTATATATATAATGTACACATAAGTGGAAAAATAGAAAAATAGAATTAAAAAATAACATGGATCTTTCCATGAACTTTTTGAAGACTCCTCGTATATGCGCATATGCACACATGCAGGTAAATGTGTCTGGTACACTTTCCAGATATCATGTCCAGTGAATATTTTTCTATATTCTCAGATAAATAGAAGAAACAAAAATGCATATCTAAATGATAGTTTTGAAAACTCTATAAAATATTTCATTGACTTTTAAAATGACAAATGATGATATAATTTTAAAAAGAGAATGGACTACTGCTTTTTTAAAGAAGTCAGTCTTCTTCTTATCTTCATGAAAAGTGTGTAATGAATATTAATAGGAAGGAATAGCATGTTCTCTTTTCTCTTGACATCTATAATCAGGTGTCCTCTACACAGAATTTTGCCTGGGCCCAGGCAGGAAGTAAGTTCCTGGGGTAGGTAGGGGATGACACACACACCTGCCGGGAGCAGGGCTGCTATGTCTCCCTACTCCCAGAAAGTGGCTGGCAGTTTCTTCTAGGGAAAGACTTGTTAGATTCAGATCATGATCTTCCAAATCTTGTTGGAATCTACAAAAATTAAAAATAAAAGTGATGTTAATATTTTCTCTGTACAGTTCTTTATATACTTTAAAATTTTACCAATAGAGAAATATACTCAGAAGTGGAACCAATTGGTTTGCTTTTTATCTTTTTCATATTAACTCTGGTTTCTTAGATGTGGACGAGTGTGAAATTGGTGCTCACAACTGCGACATGCATGCTTCATGTCTGAATGTCCCAGGAAGCTTCAAATGTGGCTGCAGAGAAGGCTGGGTTGGAAATGGCATCAAATGTATTGGTGGGTTTGCAAATATAAATATCCTTTGCTAAGACTCAAAATTTGTAAAGCTTCTTTGCACAGTTGCTAACTCACACACTTGCATAGGAACATACTCTTCACTTTCATTTACTCTCTTGTAAATCAAAGGCTGTCTTTAGTTACAAGAAAATTTTTGCTAAGAGTTTCTTTTAGCCCTAATATAAATGATCAAATTACAACAGTATGCCTTGGTATCTGCTTTTTAATGTGTTGTTGTTTGGAAAAATTATTCGATGTGCAGCCATTGATCCAAACAGCTGTATGATGAAAAATGACTAATATGTTTTTCCAATCTTTTCATAGAGTAATCAGTGAGATTTTAAAACCTGGTAAAATAAATGGAGAAAATGAAAAGTTTTCTTCAGATAGCGTAAGTTTATAATAAGTAGTCAATACCAGCTTCTTGCTAGAAGATAGAATTCTTCTTAGAGTCAAACCTGAATGTTTGTTGGATTCCAGAGATCTGACTTGAAGAAAGGAGCATAGGAAGGCAGTTTCTCCAAGTTTTGTAGTTCTTAAGCCAGAGTCTAATAAGTCTTCTATAGCTGTGAGGCAGGGCACTGGATTATATACCCTTGGTATCATTCTCAGTGCTATTTAACAGGCTCAGTGTTTTACATGACTTAACAATAAAGCATTTTTCCAACTGGTAAAAATTATCCGGGTCAGTTGAAAATAGAGAAGAAAGCAAGCTGAACTGACCTCCACACAATTACTCATAAAAAGCTTACAGACCAGCAGTAAGGATTAGAGAATAGCCTAAAATCTCTTACCAATAGTATAAGTTAATTTGAATACATTTTCATATCTATTCAAATATTATACCTGTCAAGTGTTTATGAACTGACTATAGAATTTAAATTATCATAGTTTTCAAATGATTTTGCTAAGTAATGTCCTGCGATGGCTTCATTAAGTTCACAAGCTGCCTCTTCCTAGTCCAGTCAACTCTCTGTCCTTAATCTCACAACTTTTCAGCCATATCCTCATTCCCGTTTTCCTAGCCACATGTATATCTACAATTTTTCTCTCTTTTAGCCTCCTTTTTTGTGCTTCTTGTCCATTTGTCACCCTGGCATCACAAGACAGCCCTCCTCCAATACAAGAAATTCAACAGTGTCCCGCACCTGTGCTGCAAAACATCATCTCCATCCTCTCTCTCCGTTCCGTCTAACCCGGCCGCTCTAGTCCTAACCACTTTCCCACCCCTAGCTCCTCCACTGGGCGCTAAGAGAAGCCCCTCATATGTCCGCTCATTTGCTCTCCGTTCCCCCTGCGATCCATTCTCTACATAGCAGGAGGAGAGTTTTGAACCACGGATCTGCTCTCTTCACAATCTTATTCTCCATGGAATTGAGGATAAAATCCAGCTTCCTCCCCTGGTTTGTAAGACGCACAGAATGTTCCCGCTGTTTCTCGAGCTCCATCTTTCATCATCTTCCATCTCCTGCATTGTGCTTTCCCTCTCTGACCTCCTTTAATTTCTTTTGTTGCACCAAGCTGTTTTCCTCCTCTGTGTCTTTATATGTGCTATCCCCTCTGCAAGGGATAGTCTTCCCTGCTGGTGTTCAGTCAGCTAACTCCTCTTCATCCTTCAGGTCTGAGGATAACTAAAAGTTCCTTCCCCAGTGAGGCCTATCTTATTCCTGCGTGTGCCCAAATTAGATGCATTTATTCTCTCACTGCACCTTGTGACTTTTCTTCATTGTACATACAACAATATTGGTTTTTTCTGTGTTTAACATCTGTTTTTCCTGCTAGACTGTGGCCTCCAAGAGGTCAAGAATCATATCTCAGTTTCCTCATTTACATAAAACGAACTTGAAAATGCTATGCTAATTTTTCTGTCTGAAATTCAGTAGTATCTTAAAAATTGACCCGTCTTTACTAAGGGAATTGGCAATAAAATCCACACTCAGCAGAAATGAGAATGGAATCTAACACTGCTTTCTTTTAACCATTAAATTTCTAATTGATTAGGTATCTCACAAGATGCTTGAATTCATCTTTTTGGCCCACATTTGTGACATGGACATTTTAGGTTATGGGTCTGAGATCTTAGAGAATTGGAGCTGTGACCATGCAGACAAATAAAAACACATTCCATTTGGCCACCTTATTTTTTGATTAAAACATGAAAATCTTTCTACGTGTTTAAATGTTCCATTTCCATTTCTAAACTTTATTGCTGTGTTCTCTTGGCATGCAGATCTGGATGAATGTTCTAATGGAACCCACCAGTGCAGCATAAATGCTCAGTGTGTAAATACCCCTGGCTCATACCGATGTGCCTGCTCTGAAGGTTTCACTGGAGATGGCTTTACCTGCTCGGGTAGGTGACAGTCTTGAGATGTACTCTGATGTGATTGTCATGAAACACTTTATGTGCTTTCCTAATTTGAAAAAAACTGTAGTTAAAGGAGGTTAAGATACCAACTTCTGTTTTTATACTTGCCTTACAGGTGAAAATGTATCTTCCTCTTACATTAAACACAAAAACCTGAATGATTTTCCAAAACATTGGAG